CCCCAACAACATCAAAGTAAAAGTACCATTAAAAAAAAAAAAAAAAAAAAAGTAAACCAGCTGTATTACAGAGTCACCAATGCGCAAACATGAAAAAATGCATTTCCTGAGTGTGGACCACCCCCAGGCCCACGAGATGGAGAAATGCATGATGAAGATGAGGAGGAGGAAGAAAAGGAGGAGTTTCTAGGGGGACGGGGCGGGGGTGCCAGCTTTCACTGCTGAGCAGAGACATCTGGAAGCATTTACATCTGCACTAACACAGAGTGGCGCAGGCCCAAAAGTTACATCACTCATAGATCTGCACAATCCCCCTCCCTCGCCACACATCCACACACATCGCAGTAAATCCTTAGTTTCATGTCAGAAGGAACCAAACGCACATGTGGCAGAAAGAGCCGGACAAAGGCATAAAGTGAACACAGAGTGCGATCATAAATACACTTGTGGAGTCGAGTCCGACTTCCCAAACACCCAGCGGGAGTTGTGAGGACAAGCGCCTACACACTTGTACACACAATCACCCCCTCCCCTCCGGCCCCCGTAACCCAGTACGATTTCCTGCAAATTCCAAAGTCAGATCCCGGCTGGAACATTTCAGCTTGGCTGCCACGTCAGTTTGCCTACACCATCCTAGCCCGCTCATTATCCAAGCTTTTCCGCAAGAAAGCCAGTGAAAGGAAGAGAAGTCGAAGACAAAGAGACAGTTGTTTCACTTTTTTAATTTGAATCCGTTTTTTAATATATATATATATATATATATATATATATGTATATATATATATTTTTTTTAGATTGCGTTTTTGATGGAAGAAGACAACGAAGGCTGGAGAGTGAGCGAGTGGTGAGTAAGCAATAACAGTGACAACTTGTCATTTAAAAACTTTCCCTAACATTTCTTTTGCTTCTTTACCGATTAATGCTCAAAATTGCTGCTTGCTTAAGATCTTAAAAAGCAGTTTTCATACTGATTCATACTGAAGCAGCGTCTCAATGTGTATGCTCTACGCTTTATTCTGTACGATAAGCAGTTGCCATTTATGCCATTTTATTCTACGCATGACTAGTAGATAATATTTAAGCTATTTGTCCTCTGTCCTACAGTCCTCGTGTAGCGACCTACAGACGCAATGACCTCTGGGTCCTTCCTCTCAGTCCTTTTCACCCCCCACCCAGCCTGCCCAGTGTTCAGACTACCTGTTCCTAACGGCTACAGCTGAACAGTAGTCTGCACATTGGTTAGGCCAGGCTGGGATGCACGCAGCTCCTCACCTCTGATGACAACAAACCTCCATAAAGGACATACCCAGTCTGTAACATCGTCACCATCCGCTGCAATTTAACCGATTTGTACCAGTTTCTGTCACATTAAAGAAGTGGTTGAAGCAGCGGTTCCTCTCACCTCCTCATCTTTGTACCAGGACAGAGATTCGGCCGTCAGCACGAACCAGTATTCCTTGGAGCCTCCTTTCATAATGCTGATGTTGAGGGTTAGCCAGCCTTTCCTGATTACCTGCACGATGAAGGGATCGTGTGGAGGAGACAAGGATTGCAGGGAGATGGGGAAACAATAGAAACAGTTAAGCTTTTCTGAAAGAAAGAAAAAAATTATGAATTACTGATTTAAACACTCACTTACCTGCGTGGTTAAACACTAGCTTTGTTTACTTTTTAATTTAAATGTTATTTAAATGTGATTTTAGTGATAGTTAAGACTTCCTACGACAGAAGCACAAAAAAGGACGGAATAATCAGAGAATAGTAAAATGTGCATCTTGGAATGGGCAGTTAGACGTTAAAAATATCCAGACTGAAATTAGTGAACAGAAATGAAAGCCTTGTTTTGTTTTACTCAACAGAAAATGAATCAAACCAAGAAAGTGAGGCGCTTTCCAGGGCATGCTCGCCCCAATTTGGGGGCAAATGCGAAAGGTCGACGGCGGAGTCAGAGGTTAATCAGAGAGGATCAGAGGTGCTCGATTACACAGAGAAAATGTTAGCCATCCTTCAGAAGCATTCAGAACGAGTGTGTTAGTTGAGTCGACAAATGCTGCGGTTTCAGATGAACACAAATCTAAACAGCGGCTGGTTACATGTTGAGCGAAGGAGGATGAGACAGAAGCAGCTAACTGTAGCAGGTTATTTTAGAAAAAAGTTACTTGGTTTTAAAAGCTCTTCTAAAGACTCCCATGCACTTCTACTACAATATCAGGAAGTACGTTTTGAAAAAAAGCGAGGGGGAGAGGGTAATGTGTTGGGTTCATGTCAAATCCTTCTTCAGACTTCGGTTGTACAATTTCTCTCCATTCAGAAAACAACTTCAGTGGGAGATGGTGGAGGCAGAGAGGGAGCTTATTTACTTGGCGTAAAAGTGCCAATATCAATATGGGAGAGGAGGTAACAGAGTTCCTGGAGAGAAATGACTCGAGCTTTACAGAAATGGGAAAAAAAAAAAAA